CTCTTCTCTGTGCTGTACTCATATAAATGTCGAGGGTTGGCTTACAGGTATGCGGCTCAGCTTCCATCCAAATCCTTGGCACAGACTACGTATAGTCTCTTAAATCTGACTCTATTTTATTCTGTAGCGTATCGATAAATATTAGATGGCCAAGGGGGAAAAAGCCCTAAATTGTAGTGCTTGCCAATTTCTGTGGTGTAAAATAGTCCTACCATTGCTGATTTCAAACTACCAATGTGTGGTCAGCTGACTTGCAAAATCCCTGAAAATTTAACAATCGCCCTCCTGAGACAGCTCCAGTATACCATTGAACCCTCCCCCTCAGCCCCTCAGGTCTCATCCTCTGGTCTTTGCTTCATTCCCCGCCCCCCCCTCACCCCACAAGGCCATGCTCCATCATTCCTCAATCTTCTCTGTTCCCTCTAGCTCTTTGGAAGCTGGATTGATTCTTACTTCTGTTCACTCTCTTGTTACGCATATGTTGTGCCATCAATTTACAGCTGCTTTCCCTGGGGGAAATATTTTGAGTGTGAACACCATTAATTTGGAAGTTAAAAGAAAGTAAAGCTTGATACTGTTTCTTTTCCTTTTTCTTCTTGCAATAGCAGTCTGTTATACTTCGAGGCAATGAAGAGGCTGTTGACTTGACACTGGGTAAAGGTTCAGGAAGTCCAGACTGTCATAAAGATTAATATTTTAAAAGCTTAGCACACTGTATTGCTTAGAGTTAATAGATACCTTCATCTGAGGCTCATAAATCCATTAATAGTATCAAATTATTTAACGAGTGTTTATGAATTGGTTAGAACATGTGGCGGATCTGCGGAAAGAGGTCTACTCTTATTTTACACGGAAGAGAGGGGAAGAAAACATGGGGAACCATCCCCTGAATAGCTACTTGATTCACCCAGGGAAAAGTTTGGAGAACTGTGGGCATGTCCTGTATGTCAGGAAACATCAAGGCCACTTTTCCTGTGTGTGCACTGGGGAGGGAGTGGTGACTGTATGAAGGATGCCATCTCAGGCACAGTTTCAGCCTTAGAACTCAGCATAACGGCGGCAAGAGAAATATTTGGAAGGTGAAGCAAAGGATGCTCAGAGAAGAACCATATCAAGATGCCTCACCCTTACTCCCTCCACTTCCTTTCTGCTAACTTTGTCATGGAGATAATAAAAATGCAGTAAGGAGACGCCATAGCTGGTCTCCGTTTTTTGATCAATGAAAGGTAAATTTCCTTACATCTAGAATTGTTTTTGAATGTTGGGCCCATTTCATTGGCGACGTAAGCAGGCTTCCTGAGGAAACCCTCTGTCAGCTTTTCTGAAGACGTTCCAGTGGCCTCTGGACCAAATCTTAGTCAGCAATGGATGAAAACTTGAAGCTCTTATTCCCTACCCTTTTAACTTGCACAGGGCAGATCAAATTAAGCCCTCTGCTAGCTAGGCTTTTATTTTTTAAACAATAGAACCTATTTATGGAGATGCCACAGTGAGAATTTTTTTTAAATCTTGGATCTTTTATTTTTGATCACTGATTCTTCCTGGAGATAGGTTACTTTTTATGGATGTAACTAAAGACATTTGCCTCCTACACAAAAAGAGAAAGTGGGATGGAATAGGATAACTCAGATGCCTGCCCTACCTCGGGCCACGTAGTTTTTCAGCTGGTGAGGCAATAACGAGTAGTGTTGGATCTTAGCCGGACTCTCCGGAATAATCAGAGAAACCATGTCAAACCAGTCTACCCCCCTGGGTTGACAAGGCCTTCTTGTTCTTGGTGCTCGGCTTATTGACGTTAGAATAGAGGGCAGGGTTGAAGTTGTTGAGTTCCATTCCTGGATTCTGTGCAGAAATGCTGCACTGTCCCAAATAAGTAAGAGTAAACATCCCCTGACTTTTTAACCTTTGGCCTGGACTTTTCGTTCTTCAAATTACCTTGATACGAGGTATCAGGACCCGTTTCATACTTGCCCTGGATGGATCCTTTGCACATACTGCTCTGGTATAGCGTATTCCAAGGCCTTAGTAGAACAGAGCAGATGGAAGGTGAATGAGTTAAATGCGTGGACTTCTTACATTGGAGCCCGTGATCACGTTCGTTTTCCCTAGGTCTTGAGTGCCAGCAACGGTAGGCCTTTCATCCTGACTCCAGGGCTCTCGGCCATCCTCATTCTCATATGGGAAATTCTGGGTCCTTTATAATCCTTGGAGGTTTGTGAAAATACGTCAGAACGTGACAGTGGGTGGACAAGAACCTTACTCAGTTCCTCCCTCATTCCTTCTTCTCCACACTGGGGTCTGCTAGTAATTAATTCTGGGCTTTTTTCTTCTATATAAAATAACAAAGCACATTAATATTTTTTTTAAGAAAGGATATACTCATTTATGTATAATACACTTTTAAATTATTATTATCTCATTTACTATCCTATTACTTCATCTGCCTACATGTTTTGTTTTGTTTTTTTTCTAGCTCTGTTGATGTGTTCATTTCCAGATACTATAACTACCTGGGGAAAGTCTGGGGAATGGAATATTTACAAACTCTCAAAGTTTCCTCCTAAATGATTTACTATTTGCAAAGGACAAAATAGTAACTTTTCAGTGGAGAAATCTAGTGAACACACTTTTAATCAAGCACTCAAAATCAACACCACCACAGAGGACAAACCATCACGTGCCTCTGGATGTGATGCACTGAGGACCACATACCACTTACATGATATTCCTGACAAAATGGTATCGCTTGAATCTGTTTGTGAGGAAGTACCAGACACATTTAAGTAACAATAACTGGCTTATATTGTTTAGGCAATGTCAAAGTCATGAAAGACAGAAAGGTGATGAAAGGAGATTAAAGAGATATTTCAATTAAATGTAATGCAGAATCTAGGATCGGATCCTGGAATAGGAACAAAAGTTATAAAGGACATTAATGGGACAACGGTCACATTTGAATATAGACTGTAGATTAAATGATGGCACTGCGCAGTCCAAAACGTCAAACACTGTAGCTGATGACCTGGCCTCTGCCGGCTTCTTAGGGCCACTGACTCCGTTTTGGCTGCAGTCACCCTAGCGTGAGCGCACGTCCTGGAGCGTGGACCCTTTTCTTTCGCTCTTATGGGTCACAGTAGGTCTGTTTTCTTTTCCATGTTTTAATCATTCTGATAGTTGAAAGCAGTTAGTCTGCCTCCTTCCAACTAGACTTCTTTTCTTAGCATAAACACCCTCAGTCATTTCATTCATTACAGTGAGAAGCTGCCTTCTTCTCTGCATGGTGCCTTGACAGTGCTCTTTCTAAAGAAGGGCACCCACGCTTGACACAACATTTCAGAACATTATGTAATTGTGACCCCATTAATCTGGCTCTTAAATAGTTTGAATACCGATAGGGCTACATACATTCATCGGCTGATTTTTGCTTCTACCAATACTATTATGATAGTAATTAAAATAATTATTAAGCACCTAACATATGTTAAGCACATACATATAGTGTAATGGAATTTCCTGAGCACCTTTCATGTAATACCTTACTTAGTTCTTACGACCCGGTGAAGTAGATAATAACAGTATATACCCTTTTACCAGATGAGGAAATAATTTGCCCAAGGTCACATAGCTAGTAAGTGATGGACCAGGAATACCTATAATATATTGCCATATTTTTACAGGGTGTTTATCTTGATTTCTCTAACAATTAGTTAATTTTAGACTGCAAAGTAAACTGCTTTTAAAAACCATGATGTTTGCATATCTTACTATAAATCTGTGGACCTGTGGTTAGATGATCAGTATTTAACATCTTAAAAGACATTGTTTAATTCACACATCTAATTCCCTGATACAGACATGAATTTACCTTACAAGTTGTTTGATGATATAAACGTGCATTTACCTCACATCACTAAAAATTTGCATTGAGATGAGAGAAAATATATAAAAATAATGGGGAAAAATTCCGTTGTGTGCTTGAAGGCAGGGAAGGTGTTGTGAGGGTACCACAACAGGAATGGATTTTGATTTTTTGTGGGGGAGGCTGATATGGATCCCTGTGAGGATGTATCCTCTTTTGTAACCAACAAACAGAACACCTATGTTATTTGCAAACAGCAATGAAACAAATACAAAAAAAGGGGCTATTATAAAGCCATAGAGAAATCTCAGAAGATTCCAAAAAGAGAAAATCATACAGGCCACATACTCTTTGACTACAAAATTAGAAAGAAACAACAAAAAGACAACCCTAAAATATCTATCCACATTCTTGTGTAAAAGAGGAAATGAAAACTAAAATTCCAGATAAACTTAATATGAAGGATAGTGAGAGAATTACAGATCAAAAGAGGATACTCTGTACTTCTTTCTAGAAGATACGCATTCTTCACCTCAAACCTGTAAGTAGATGTTGCTTAAAAAGGGAGGAAATAGAGTTGGACTAATTTAATCCTACAAGTTGACACCCTTACACAAAATTGGAAAGCCTTCAGAAGCCTCATAACTTTTTTAAAAAGTTCAATAATTTTAAGTTTTTACTTACTGCTTTTTGGTGCGTACTTGAATGAAATCAAGATTTAAAAGTTGCCATTAAATATCGATCTTTAAATGATTTAAGCATATTTGAACTGTCTTAAATTAAGGCAACACACTCTACTCAGTAAATGGCAGTGAAAACCTTATAGTCAAGAAGTAAATTTAGTGAAAGTATTTGCTTTACTGCATGTGTTACTCCCTCAGTTTTCATCATCTACTTTAACTGGAACGTTAGCTATACTGTGTAAATTATTGAAATATTTGTCCATAAGTATATTTTATATTAAAACATATGAAGAATTTATATAATATGAAGGGATTCTTTACTAGCTGAAATCTATGATTGATAACTTATAAGTATTTGGGAATTTCTGAATTTCTTGAGGCCATATGTTTGAAACAATTATAAACGACTGAATTAATTAACTAATTAATTTATTTATTTATTTATTTATTGTATTTAGGATTTGGAAATATCTCACCACGCACAGAAGGGGGGAAAATATTCTGTATCATCTATGCCTTACTGGGAATTCCCCTCTTCGGTTTTCTGTTGGCTGGAGTCGGAGATCAACTAGGGACCATATTTGGAAAAGGAATTGCGAAAGTGGAAGATACCTTTCTTGTAAGTATGATGGCCTTTTAACTACATATGTTTATTGTTTAATTTTAAAACATATTACAATTTTTATATTACCTCAGTACAGTTATTGTATCTTCCATAACAATTTATAGGTAGCTCTATCAGCATGTAAATCACTGTATAGTTATTTTTATACTTATCTGAATGAATAAATGAATGCATGAGAAAAACCCCCAAAATATGCAGGAAAAAAGAGAAATCTGATAGTCCTAAATTCGAATTCCAGATGTGTCTCCTATCTATATTCTTTTAAGTTATTTTACCCTTAAATCTTCATTTTGTCATATAGGTAACATGAATAATGGTACTGATGACGAGACATTTCTCTGAGAGTTAGAGGTAATGTAGGTTAAAGGTTAACATAGCTAGTAAATGACTGACAATATTTTGTTATTTAAAAATTGCTTTGGGATCTTTGTTTATTGCTGGTGGCATTGTAAATTTATAAATCCCTTTCGTGAAGGAAATAGTAATAGATAGCAAACACGATAAAGGTGATCATACAACTTAATTCAGTAATGTCATTGATAGAAATTTATCTAAAAGATGTATTTTAGTAGAACCAAAGTAAAATACATGGAGATGCTCAAGGCTCTGTTATATCAATAGGAAAAAAAAATGAAAATGCTTCTATTAGAATTTTAAGTGAAAAAATAGTAATAATATCAACATGAGTACAAATTTCTATTCTTGAAGAAAATGATGGAAAAAGAAAATGTGTTAGAGGGTGGGATTATAAATGATTTGTTCCTACTGTCACCACTTACAAATACATTTTATTTATTATTCAATAATGTTTTATATTTTCACAAAAATTTCAACAAAGTATTTTACATTTAATACTACTGATTAAATTAGTCTAAATTATAATTCCAGTTTTTAGCATTAGTTATGTTACATATTTAAGTTCAAAGTTCACTCTCAAATATCTTTACCATTAGAGTATAGTAGGTATGGTTCTTTGAAAATAGAAGTTTTATCCTTTTTTTAGTATTATACTTTTCTTATATCGATATTAAAAGTATCTTTTATTTATATTAATTGAGAGGACAGATTAGTGGTGTGAACTTGATAATGCCGATGGTTCATTCATTTATTCAACAAATTTATGAGCGCCTACTGGATACTGGGTAGTGTTTTTTGTGCTGCACCTACATCAACACATAAAACAAATTCCATATCCTGGTCATGGATACATTCCAGTGTCATGATGTTATATTAGCCTTTAACACTGTTTTGAGAACTTGACAAACATGAATTCATTTCACTCTCACATATGTGATAAGGATAGTAGACTAGAGGAACTTTTATTTTTACTTTTCCATTCAATGGTTACATAGATCTTTATCTCTAGAAAATTTTCATGCTCTAAATTCAGTGCTTCTTCTATGGTGGGAAGATGACCTATAATTTTCACAGTAGATAAGACAGATTCTGTTAGCGATGAAAAATATATGGTGATTAATCTCAAATGGAGATCTGGAGATAAACTGCTGTAGGTACAACTTGCATTTAATATGTCATACTGTGGAGGTTCCTGATAAGAGGAGGTGAAAAATATGGGTACTCTGATGGCAGCTGTAACTTAGGGGTGTTGAAGACTTGTCCTTGCCTACATCTCATCTTGGATATTTTTAGTTTTACTGTTTAAGGACATAGAACAGGAGGGAGACAGTTCATCTGGTGCACATGGGAATCAACTGTGGACTTTAAATCTGCTCGTATTACACTTTAATCAATTGAATAATGATTGGAAAATGTGATAGGAGAGGAAAATGTCTTCATGAAACTAATAATTTTATAAATATCAGTAGTAAATATTTAATTCATGGTTCATTTTCTCCATTTTTATATATTCCTTGATTGTTTAGCCTACAATCAATTATATGCCTATAGAATAAAAATATTTCAAAAGTAGTTCAGCTAAACAAAGGATGATTGAACCCGTATTCTCAGAGCAAGTATAATTTACTTTTGAAAGTTTTTTATCTGCTGTAAAGCTATGTGAGAGTAAAGTGGCATCATTATTAGCATTGATTACTTTGAGTTGTTATACCTGATTTGTGTAAGTCAATTGACATTAATTATAAAAGAGAATAAAATAGCATTTTCACTTGCTAATTTGCTGATAATAGTGTGTGTAGGTAGCTTTGTGTGTATGTTAAAAATCAATGAATCTCTATCGACTTCTCTTTCTCCCTCTTACTATTTTTAGAAGTGGAATGTTAGTCAGACCAAGATCCGCATCATCTCAACAATCATATTTATACTGTTTGGGTGTGTGCTCTTTGTTGCTCTGCCTGCGATCATATTCAAGCACATAGAAGGCTGGAGTGCCCTGGATGCCATTTATTTTGTGGTTATCACTTTAACAACCATTGGATTTGGTGACTACGTTGCAGGTAAGTTTCTCCTGGGACCAACGCTGCCCTCCTAACCCTTGTCTCTTAGATTTTTCACTTGGGTTTGCAGCACAATGACTATGGTAGTTTCCTAAGGTTGCCATAACTAAGTACCACCAACTGGATGGCTTTAAACAAAACAAATTCATTTTCTCACGGAAGTTCAAAATCAAGGTCGATTCTGGTGGAATCCTCCCTTGCCTCACTCTGGCTTCTGGTGGATGCCATCAGTCCTTGCTTGCGGCTGCATCACTCCCATCTCTGCTTCTGTCATCGTGTGGCCTTCTCCCTGTGTCTCTATCACTGTGTCTAAATTCCATTGTTCTTATAAGGGCACCAGTCATTTTGGATTCAAAGCCCACTCTATTCCAATATGACATTGTAATTAATTACATCTGTAAGAACCTTATTTCTAAATAAGGCCATGTTTGGCAGTCCTGGGGGTTAGGACTTCAACATACATTTTGGAAGACACAATTAATCTGTAACAGTGACAAAGTCAGCAAAAAAGTTATTCTATGACAATGGAGGTAAGCAGAAGGGTACAGTTAAACATTTATTTTTTGTTCTATGAAAGAAATTTAAATCGCTGATTGTTCAGAATTTCATTCCCACCCTCATTTCGGAAATAAATATCTGCCTTTTAATTTTTTTTAAAGGTGCAAGAATTTGAGTTAAACTTATCTTTGCTCTTTTTATTTAGACCTTTTCATGTCTTAGTTTTAAAAACATCTGCAAACTTCAAAAGATATTCTTAGCCTCTTTAAATCTTCTTTTCTCTTGATATTTACCTTCTTTAATTTTCAAGTCTCAGGATGATATTTTGACCTTAGCTATAGAGTCCACATTTTTTAATTAATGTTTTTTAAATTTTTCCTATGTATGTTTCTATATATGTTATTTTGATTGTTGTTTGCTTTATTATTGTAGCTCGTTGGTCTTACATTCCTATCATTTCAACTCTCTTTCCCAGTTATATTATTCAATTATTACTGTTCTAACTCCAATTTTAAATGAATTATAATAATAATGGTAAAAATAATATAATAATGCTCTATCACAGACCATTTCATAAACTCCTAAAAATTTAAACTATTCTTTTAAAAAAATTCAGTTTGAAGTATTAGAAAAACATGCTGAACATTATAGTGCCATTAAATTTTCCAGAATAAATTCACCAGCCTAATTGAGTTTTAGGAGACTCGTTTTCTTTTTCTTTTTCTTTTTTTTTCACTTTCTGATTATTTACTATCCCCTTTCTTGACCCAAACTTCTTAATTATTTTTAGGAAAGAAGATATGTTGTATAATTCTATAAAATCTTAGAGAAGGCTGATAGTTCATATGTTTTTACTGATTGGTTAGTTACTGTTTAACCTGGCAAAGCCTTCTTTTCTAGGGAATATATATTCTCCTTGAAGATGGGGATATTTTCATGAGTGAAGCTTAACTTTTAGTCAAAAAATACTATTTACACATCTCTGTACTGGATGGAGGCCCTGGGAAAGGAGAGCTTGTCACTCTGTAGAAGATCTTTTTAGTTTTCTAATTAGCAAAGTATGGAGAGAAGACTCTCAGACATGTAGGAAGAGCTTCTGTCCTAAAACACCCATTTTTCTACCTCTTATAAAGTTGTATAATTGGCTTAAGTAGAAGTGGAAAGTGCATTTATGCAGAAGAAAGTGAGACACAGTGATGATAACAAAATATGTACTTGTGGTATGTTAATTTTAGGCTTTTGTACCACTTTATAAATATAATTATGAAGTCTCATAATAAGTGTGGAATATATAGGTATTAAGTGATACAGCTTCTATTTTCAGGCCAACAGCCTGTATTGCAAGTATTATTTTATTTAATTTTAAATTTTTTATGGTAACACATAGTTTTATTTATTTATTAGCTTTATTGAGATATAATTGACAAGTAAAACTGTGAGATATAAATGTACATCTTGGTGATTTGATACATGTATACATTGTGAAAAGATTCCCACCATCTAGTTAATTAACACGTCTATCAACTCACATATTTATCCTTGTTTTTCTTATGAGAATATTTAAGTTTTAATTTCTTAGCAAATTCCAATGATACGGTACAGTGCATGTGTTATTTTCAACAATTGACAGGCTGTGTCAGTCCAGTATGTGGCCCTCGTGGTTTGTGACTCTAAGAAAAACAAAAATTATAAATAAAAAAAAAGTGGGTGGAATCCTAAAATAATGTTGTATATTTGTGACCACAGTATGAACTGGCGTAGAAAGAAGAGAACAAATATTTTTACTTCATGGTTTTGTAGAAGATGAAAAAATTTTTTTAACTTACCTTAAGAGATCAACACTCTGAAACTGGCTAGATCACGTGGGTCTGTTAGTAGCCAGTCCCAAAGGCCTGAGGAGAGAAATTCAGTGAAAACATCTTGTGTTTATCAGTGGGGACCCTGAAGTCGGGGTCATGGCACAGTATTGTGGGGGAACGGGGTAATGAAATGACATTTGCGTGGCATTTTTTAGTTTAATAAACATCTTTATTATTACTAGGATTTTATTTCATTGCAATCATCTTTAAATTCATTGTTTTAATTTTACAGAGGAAATAATGAAAAATCATAGAAACATACTTTGTTAATAATTAACAAAGCAGTATGATATGATTAAAAGTGACAAGCACTGAAAGATAAATTAGAGAAGAGGCAGATTGACACTAGTTTTGTTGCCACATTTGTCTCCTTAATTTATGTATTTTATAGCTATTTTGATCTTTGTGAAACTGTAGGACACTGTTCCTAGTATCATAGTCTTTTCTTAATAATTAAAAAAAATTTTTTTTAAATTCTTTAATGCCACCACATATTTGACCCCTTTGACTCCATCTACCTCCCTCCTCCCCCTGTCTTTATATGTGAGGTCCTTGTGCTCAGGGGCATTTTTGGAATGAGAATGTGGACAAGGGGGCAGGTATGGCAAAGGTGGCTTAAGAAATATGTGTCCTTTACAAACTTCTTTGGAAAAACAGAAATTATGAGTTTTTTTTTTTTCTAAAGGATCTTCGAAAAGAATTGCCTCATGTAGTTCAACATAAAAATAGTCTTTGTGACAATAAAGTAAAATTGTAAACTACTTTGTGAGTATAAAGTAAAATTACTCACTGAGTTAAGATGAGGACTCCATCTGGGAAATATCAGATGTTTGCTTTTTAGAACCTTCTCTCGTGCTCTTAGATGTCACTACAGATAGTATTCTCACTCAATTTTAATATATTTGCTGAGGAAAAGCAGGAGGCATTGCTCTAACTTGAACTTTTTCAACTTTCTATTGGTCCACAAATCTCAAAAGAAAATGAAAATGGACCTCCTATAGTGCATACTCACTGTCTGATGCTTTTTCTCAGGCTCGTCAACCCTACTCTAATTAGGATGAGGGTTCAATTACACTGTTGTATTGAACATGGAAGACAAATTAAAGAACATATTCTTCAAACTGTGGTGTTATTAAAGGCGAAGGAGTAAGTTTTAGAAAGTGATGTATAAATATTTAGGATATAGGTTGTAACCTGAGTGTAATTATCAGGAACATCTCAAGAACAACATGTGACGATGTGGTATTTTAGAGCAGAACTCTGTAACAGAGTACTCGTCCACATGGCAGGTAGACTTTCTACCATGGGAAGGAAATCGGACAATTATTTCTGTATATTCTTAAACCTCACTTTTTACTTTTTATTTTTCATATGTCATCATGTTCATGATATCATATATTAGAGCCTAATAGATTTCTAATTCACAAATAGCTATATATTTAAATTTGTACATGCAGACGCTTTTCGTTGGTGACATTGAGTCAAAAGATTTAGAGACCACTAGTCAAGACAAAAAGTCATAGTGTTCAGGTTTCTCTGTGTATATGACTGAACGGAGGAATTCAACTTTTGGTAATTTTTCTGCAGGAAGAGCTCTCCCAGCAAATTTTAATTTTATACTTATATTTATGCAAGGAATGGGTTTTAGTGGCTGATTGGCTATCTTAGTGATTGGTATCTGCTTCTTCCTGATTCCTCTTTTTGTTCTTTGACTAGTTTTCAATGTTGTAGAGCTCAAAACAACATGGAGGGGACATAGTGGCATGCCAACACTTTTATTTTACACGTGAATAAACACACCCCTATTGCTAAGAACAGTGTGTACGAAGTAACCCTTCCTAATACATGAGAGGAGATAAAGTAAATTATTTAGCAAAGTATCATGTACTTGATTTTACTAGTGCCTATAATAATTTACAGTCAAATTTGTAGAGCGGTAAGTTAAATAAATGGCACATTATATTTGAGAATTAACTATTGATTTCCTGTGTTCTGTTTATTAACTTTTGTCATTTTATTTTTTATTTGATGAGAAGTCTGGAGCTAATAAGTTGCTAAATCATGCTTGCCTTATAGACTGCGTGCTAAATCAGCCTTTCTTCATTAAAATCGAAAAAGTAATATTAATTATTTGGACATGTGTGAAAGATTGAATTCTACTTATTCGGTCTTGCTTTTACAATTTATCTTCTAAGTTTATGATTTAAAAGAAATTAGTTGGTGATTCTTTAAAATTGGAGAAAAGCCAAATTAATTATCTCATTTAACACAATTTGCTCTTATTTTTCAAAGCTGGTGTATTCTCTAAGAGATACTGTTAGGGTTAGAGTGGGTTATGCAACAAAGAACGCATTTCCACAGATTGTTTAGAAGCTGCCCAAAGAAGTCCTTAGAAATACTCCTTTTTGGAAACCAGGTTAGTTCATAAGAGATAATATGAATTAGTGAAAGCCAGATGCAAATTTATAGTTTCACAAGTTAGTGAGCTCACTCATATTACCAACTTTTCTAATAAAAATGAAAAATTTAGCAAAAAATTTAGATGTTCTAAGAACTCTCCATGGTTGTTATTGTGAAAACACATTTTCCATCTGAGCATAAATTTACTGAGTCATCTAAATATATCTTCTTGGAATTTTGATC